CATAAGATAAATAATAAAAATTTCACAGGACTTCAATTGTTTTTTATAAATTAATTTTATAATTAATTTTTTGTATTTAATTTTTTGAATTTAATTTTCTATCTTTTAAATTTCGCGCCTAAAGGTTCATAAAAATTCCCGCCTAGATGGCATGAAAGTTCTCTCACAAACGCTATGAATCAAATTTGATGAATTTGAATAAAATGAATGAAATGAATTTCAATAGAAAGTTTAATAAAAAAATAAATTCTTTTTTTCGAGTGCAGGAAGAAATTACGTATACAAATTTGTGGAAAAATAAAAATCAATTCCTTTTTTTTCCTCTTATAATAGTTTCATAAACCCTAAAAGCATTCAATAATAATCATTTACAAACGCGATTCTCCTTTCACAACCCTATACAAAGCACAATGGAAATTTGATATTTTCGCTATTTTTAGGGTGAGCGGATAGGCGACAATATTCTCGAGTGCACAATATATATATAGTTATCCCGCCTTTAGGTTTAGGTCAATCATGAGATTACGCTTCTGCGGGCTGAAATTTTTTCTTCTCAACTTGGACCAGACATTTTATAGTGTTTGTGAAAAAGAGAGAGAGAGAGAGAGAGAGAGAGAGAGAGAGAGAGAGAGAGAGAGAGAGAGAGAGAGAGAGAGAGAGAGAGAGAGAGAGAGAGAGAGAGAGAGAGAGAGAGAATATGGCAAAAAGATGAATCACGAACTTGGACCAAAACGAAGGGAGAGACGATGCTACGATGATGACTCATCGTTGTGTTTAAATTGCTTCCCGATCGATAGCCCCATTGGGAATTAGAATTTTGTCATCTCTAAAGCAACACGCGGCTCTCCCTCCCTCTTTCTTTTTTTTCTCTTTATCTCTCTCTTTTTTCTATTTTCTCTCTCTCACTCTCCTTCTCTCTCATTAGCCTCCGGATTTTGTCTCAAATTTCATGGGGGTGATCTTTTTATAAGACAGAACCTTTTGTTATTTAAACCTTCGCCCTTAATAGTCGGGAAATCTTGTTCGAATTTACGTATATAGTTATAAATTGGCATCAAAGGATTAAAAATCAACGATGAGGCACGATATTCCCTAGAGAATGAAATGTATTGTTTTTTCGATTCAAGAATCTCTTGTCTCTCGCTTAAATCAATAACAAGTTTCGGACTGAATTTAAAAATAAAATTATTATATTTATTAACACACAATTAATATCAGAGTTGCAACAAAAATTTAATTTTGTTTTTCCCTAATTTCTATAGACAAAATTTTGACTTTTTTCACAATTTTTAACTAAAATTTTTCTTTAAATCAATTATTTTCAATACTTTTTTTAAAAATAGTTCTTTGAGAATTTTCAAATCCATTTGTTTATCATTCAATTTTACGAAATTTCGATTACTCGGAAATTCTTCAATTAAATATATAATGGAAAATAAAAACTTGACATAATTTAAAAAAAAAGAAATTTTGTAATTAAACTTTCTCAAAACAATTAATTCTATAGAATTGTTATAGTTAAAAGTATAAAAACTTTAAATTTTCAAAGATTTTAATTTTAAAAACCTTTTCAAAATTCATGCTATTATGATTTTAATTTTCAGTTATTATCTAAAGTTTTAACTAAAATTCATTTTTAAGTTAATTTTTATTACAAAATTCTACCGGGAATTAAATTATTTAATGAAAAATAAATAATTTTTTTAACAATTAAATGTTTTTTTTAAATTGAATTCTCATAAAGAATGTTATCAAAAAATTTTTAAACAATTATTGAAAATAATTGAATTTTTGTGAAGAATTGTATTAATTTTGAAAAATAATTGAATTGCTACAAAGAATTTTATTATGTTTTAAAAACAATTCAATTCCTGTAAATAATTTAATTAATTTTTGCAAAAAATTCAATTTCTGTGAAGAATATGTTATTAAAAGTTTTGAAAATAATTGAATTCTTAAGCAGAATTTCATTAGATTTTTTGAAAAAAATTGAATTATTACACTGAAAAAAAAAAAGTATTGAACCAAGAAAATTTTTCTTGGTTCAAGCAAATCGTGGGATTGAATACGGCCAAGACTATTAAAGTATTGATTCAAGAAAACGATTTTCTTGACATAGGATATTTGGGAGAAGAACATATATTCTTGATCCAAGAAAATATGGAATTCGACCAAGAAGTTAATCTTCTTATACGAAATATAAAATGTATTAAATGAATAAAATATTTTCTTGTTCTAAGAATATATATAGATGATTGAATTATTTTATTCGATTCATTCAATGTTTTGTAACGTTCGTTCAAGTAATTCAAGATTAAATGAAGAAAACATTTATTTTGTGAGAAGAACAGATATTCTTGATCCAAGAAAATATGGAATTCTACCAAGAAATTAAGTAGCATGTAAGAAATGCAGAATATATTAATTCAAAATCATTTATGTATCAAATCAAGAAAGTATGTTCTCTGTCCGAGAAAATATTTTCTTGATTTGAGAAAATTTATAGTTTTCAATCAAAAAAATACTTTCTCAATACAAGTAAATTATTTACTTAAATTACCCCCCCCCTTACCTCCATCCCATCTTTTCTAATACTTAGGTCAAACATTTTTATTATTTAATTAATTAACATTTATATTTTTTATTTAAATAATTAAATAATTATTATTTTACATATATATTCACATTTAATTAATACTTAACACAAATACAACAAATATACCTTGAAAGAAAATTTTCCACGGTCGGAGGAATTGAACTCGGGTTGCACGCACCAGAAGCCGTCACGCTACCACTATGCCATCCTAGCCTCAATGGACAGTTTTCAAAAACTGATATTTAAGTTGCATATACATTTGAAGAAAAATATTTTCTTGGATCAAGAACACCGGCATTGTGTTAAGTAAAAAAAAGTTTCAAAGCAAATAAATAAAATGATTCGATTCAAGAAACATGAATTCTCCAGACAATACTTTATTATTTCGCTTAAGAACATGATATTCTAGATTCAATACTTTTTGGTACTTCGGAAAAGTAAAATATTTGGTTGAAATAATTACATATTGAGTTCTGCCAAATACTAAATTGTTAATTCAAGAATTCTGTTCAATGCTAATAATTACTTGACACAAGAAAATGAATTTCTTTCTTCAAATAAATATGGGATTAATTGAATATAATTTTTAATCGACTTGAAACAAATATTTACTTATATTAAGATCTTACACTTAATTGAATTGAATAAATAAAATATTTCATTCCAGAAAATATAACATTCTCGCAAGAAATTAATGATTTTGAAACATGAGAATATAGAAATGCTTCAAGTAAAAGAAATGCTTAGATTAATTAATATTTCTTTGAAACAAAATAATTTTTAATTGAGTTGAAACAATTATTAACTTGTATTAATCTTCCCATTTTCTTGGCTCAAGACTATGGGTGTTGGATGAAATAAATAGTTGCTTTAAAGGAAATAAAAAAATTATTTGACTCAAGATACCAAATGACTCAAGGTAAATTACTTGACGTGAGAACATGATATTCTTGATTCAATACTTTTTCGAGACTTGGCGCATGTAAAACAGTTCGTTTGAAACAGTAAGATATTTACTTATGTCAAACCTATATTTTCTTATTCCAATAACTTTGATCAATGCTCAAAATTACTTGACACAAGAAAATAAATTTCTTCCAATAAGAAAATATGGGTTTGTTTCAAGTAAATCAGGTCAAGAAAATGCATTTACTTGATTCAATGAACTTTTTTTTTCAGTGTACGAAGAATTTTAATAATATTTAAAAATAATTGAATTCCTGTAAAGAATTCAATTAAATTTGGTAAATAATTTAATTCCTGTGAAGAAGTTTATTAATTTTTAAAAATAATTGAATTCCTGCAAAGAATTTTATTAATTTTTAAAAATAATTAAATATTCCTGCAAGGAATTTTAATATTTTTTTAAATAATTGAATTTCTTCGAAGAATTTGATTAATTATTAAAAATAATTGAATTTCTGCAAAGAATTTTATTATTTTCTTTAAATAATTGAATTCTTAAGAAGATTTTTATTAATATTTGAAAATAATTGAATTTCTGTAATGAATTCAATTCCTTTTTTAAGAATAATTGAAATCTTGTGCTATTTTTATTATTTATTTTATGAAAATAATTTTAAAAGTTTGGGTAGAATTTTATTAGGAATTTTTTAAAATAATTTAATTCTTTTGGAAAATTTTATTAAAATAGTAGATATTAAAAATTATTGAATTTGGGAAAAACTTTTTAAAATAATTGAAATTCGAAGAAAATTTTTTTTTATTTATAAAGATAATTGAAATTTTGAAGAGAATTTTTTTAAATTTTTGAACATAATTGAATTTCTTCGAAGAATTTTATTACTTTTGAAAATAATTGAATTTCTGCAATCATTTATAATTTCTCTAAAATTCAATTTTTTTTTAGTATTTTTTAACTAAAATTCTTTTATAAATCCATTATTTTTAATAATTAAAAAATTTTAAACGCAACTCTTTTAAAATTCAATGAATTTTGAAATATTAAGGTAAAATTATTTATTAAATAATTCATAATTAATAATTTTTGATAATTGTTCAAGAATTAAGTTATTTAAATTGAAATTATTCTAAAAATTTATTTCTACTTATTCTACTATCCCTGACTTTTACCTGAATTCCCTGACCTGTGTCAATCTTGCAAATAGTTTTACTTTTAATAGTGAAAAAAAGTGTAAAGAATACAAAAATTTTTCCAATTTCTTTTAGAATTAATCGAGAAAAAAAAGACGAACAAAGAATTTAAGTAAAAGTGGCAAGGCAACACAAAGGAAACAAAGAGGGAAATTCCAGTTTCAGGACTTGGAAACTTTACGACCGTTGTAAACTGACTTTAGTTAGAGATTACTCCTTAAAAGTTGAGCTTATATACATATGTAGAGATCTAAACTCTAACGCAAAATTCAGGTAAATTCTCACTCACCTTTAAAATGTCCTCAACATCTGGTGTATTTTCCTCGAGAGCCTGCCTGGAATTGATGCCCTGTAAAAAAGCAAATAAAAAAAAAATTAAAACATTATTTGAGAAATGCATATAGTGAATATAAATTTTAACTTTTTTTATATATAAAACAGCATCCGTGTATATGTTTTTCCAAACATTTCAAATAAAACACAACAAGAACTTTCACTTTTGCTTGTAATCATTTTCTCGTTCAGAATATTTAATTATATAAACATAAACAAGTTACATAAATTTCAATCCCGAATGATTTAACTTATTAATTCAGCATAACGCGTGATTTAATTAATAAACAGATCTGATTATGCAGTTCACCTTAAAATTACAGTTTCTTCTATTTCCCTTTCTGACAATAATTATATATATATAAGTTAGATAATCAAAAGTCACCAGTAGCAAATTTTTCCCGCATCTAGCAAAAAAGTCATTCATTTCAACCAAACCAAACTTATAATAAATTAAAAAATAAATTTCAATTAAGAAAATATATTTTAAACTTTCAATATATTAATAAATTTCAATTTCAATTTACGTTAATTTATTTTTATTCTTTTATCATCTTATTTTGTTAAATTTAATTTTGTTAAAATTGTCGAACGTTGATTTTCTTTACAATCTTTATTTTTATTTTGCAGAAATTTAAAGTAGTTAATAAATTTCTCTCAATTAGCTCATGGCAAAATTATAAAACAAAACAAAATGAGCAGTTGTTTGAAATGAAATATTAAAGTATCAAGAACATATATGCATAACCGGTAATTGAGAGAATAAAACCACAATTTTTGCATAGTTCACGGTTATTATTCAATGAGAGAAAGAAACATGAAATCAAGTTTAATCGACAGTTTCCTTAAGAAGAGGAATAAAAAAAAGAAAAATAAAATCTAGAAGCTTTATCCATTTATTGAGAAGAAAAAAAGAAGAGAAATAAAAACTAAACTCTTATTTCAATCTTCGATATAACTACTTGGGTACACTCAATCTCTTCATCGGCTTTTATCTATGAAACCACAACTGGAGAATTTATCAAGGAAAGCTGAGAGAGAGAGAGAAAGAAAGAAAGAAAGAGAGGGAAAAAGAGAGAAAGAGAGGGATAAAGAGAGAAACAAGGAAAGAAAGAGAGAAAAAACAGAAACAGAGAAAAGAAAGAGAGAAAAGGGAAGAGAGAGAAAGAGAAAAAGAGAGAAACAAAGAAAGAAGATATGAAGCAAAAAGAAAAAGATAAAGAATAAGTCTAGAGAAGAAACAGGTAGCAATCAGAGGTAGCAGATGCTTTAGTAGGAAGAGAAAAAAAAAGAGGAACAGGGACACGAATAAAATAACCAGGATATATTATTTTCTGATTAATCGCGATAGGACTCTTTATCTCACACTCGCATTTTTATCTCTTCCTTTTTTAGAGCGTCTCTATTTTTATCAGAGGGAAAAAAATTTTGCCAGAGGGAAATGAACAGCGCGCGCTTCAGTCAGAATCAATTTTCATATATAGCTCAAGTACCTTTTTCAAGGCACAAAATGAGTTGAACCCTTTCCCTAAGTTATATATTTAAATAAAAAAAGTATGAATGAAGCCTTATAAAAGGATTTTTTTTCTCCTCGTTTTTACACGATTTATATTTTATGAATTTATTTTCTATGCAAGTAAATATTTATTCGATACAAGTAAATATTTATTTGACTCATATTTATTCGATTCAAGTAAATATTTTTTCAATTCAACTAAATGTTTATTCGAAATAAATATTTATTCGATTTAAGCAAATCGTCTGTCAAATCTGTCCCGTCAATATTCTAAAGAAATAAATATTTCTTCATTCAAGTAAATATTTATTCGATTCAAGTAAATATTTCTTTGATTCAAATACAATTTCTTCGATTTAAACAAGAATTATTCCATTCAAATAAATATTTATTCGATTCAAGAAAATATTTTTTCGATTCAAGTAAATATTTATTCGATTCAGCAAAATATTTCTTTGATTCAAATACAATTTCTTCGATTTAAATAAAAATTATTTCATTCAAATAAATATTTATTCGATTCAAGTAAATATTTATTCCATACAAGTAAATATTTATTCGATTCAAGTAAATATTTATTTGATTCCAATACAATTTGTTCCATTCAAATAAAAATTATTTGCTCCAAGTACAATTTAGTCGATTTAAAATTTATATAAAAAATAAAAAAATTCTTTTATCAAGTAAATACTTATTATTGATTCAAGTAAATATTTACTATCGATTCATCTAAATATTTATTCGATTCGAGTAAATAATAATTTGATAATAGACAAATAGTCGGTTCTTTGAATCCAATAAAATTTTTCCACTGTAATATTATAATTAAGGTTACAATTAAAATTATATTAAAATTCTAAGTAAATTTATTTGAATTATAATAATTGCAATATAATTAATGCAATTAATAAAAATTCAGTCGTCTATATTACCTAATGAATGAAGCCGACACTTTATTTATAACTTTATAAATTACAACGACAAAATGATCCAATTACAATTTTACATCAATTTTAATGATCACCGGAGGAAATAACTTCAATGATTATAATTTTAAAGCGCAGTCAAATTTAATATTAATTGAAGCAGGTTAACTTCAATTTTAATTATTACTATAAACCGGAAATCGCTTTTAATTAGATTGAAAACTAAAGGAGACAATTTCAAATATTTTTCAATATTCTGAAAATATTCGCCATTAAAAATTCATAGATTAAATCAATACTATAAAAATAAAAATTGAGATTGCATTGATTAGAAGAAAAGATAAAGTGAATTAGAATAATTATGAAGAAAATATAGTAGCTCCAATTATAATAATTATAAGAAAAGGATTACAATCACAGGGTTAATTTGAAGAATAATAATAATTAGAGAAGCTACTTTCAGAAGAAAATGTACAATTATCAATTACAATAATAAAGAAACAATGATAATTACAGAAGCTACTTTCAGGGAAAAATTTACAATTCAAATAATATATAATTATTAATAAAAAAACAATAAAAGAAAAAAATTCTTTAAAAAAAACAGTAAAAAAGACAATAAAAGACAATAAGAGACAAAAATTGAAAAATAATGTAAAACAACTTTAAATAGTAATGAACTAAATTACAAAAATTAAAGTGCAACAATGAAATTGCAAGAAAAATTTATAAATTTAAAATAATAAAATTTATATATTAACAAATAAAATAACTAACAAATAAATTACAAAAAAAGAAAAAAGCAAACAATTGACTATGGTATAAATAAAATTTTAATTAAAAAAAATTTTAATAAGAAAATTGAAGTTTAAAATAAATTGAAAAATTTTAAATAAAAAAAATAATTGTCGTTCTTATTTAAAGAGCTCCAAAAATTTTAAAAACTAGCGAAAAAAAATTGTAAAGCAATAAAAATATTTCAAGAACGAATAAACGAAACTAGAGGTATAAGTCAATACAACGGAGGTTGATTTAATCTTTATGACAGAAAAAACAGATAATAATTATATTAGCGAAACAATATAACTTTTACTAAATGATAAATAACCTATAAAATTTTACACTAAAATAGAAAAAATGTTACCAAAAAAAATTTTCTTATAATGATAACTGAATAGAAAAATAAAACAAAAGAAGACAAACAGGAAATTATGAAAAATTTAACTGGAAAAAAGCAGTTGAAAAACAATTGGAATTAATAATAATAAAATAATATTCACGGAAAAAAATTAATTTAATTCAAATAACCGATTAGTCTACTATTATCAATTAAATATTTACTTGAAACAAATAATATTTAAGTCTTTTATTATTTAATTAATATAAATAAAAAAAATAAAAAAAAAAATAATAATAATAATAATAAAAACAGAAGGTACTATAAGAATTAATAATTATTATAAGTAATAAATTAGTTAATTAACTAATTAGTTAATTAATTTGCTCAAAAACACTGACACAAATTGTCAACTCGATAATCGAATTATCAATACCAATAATAACAATAATAAAAAAAACAAAAGATAATTTTTCGTGTCAATCAATATCAAATAAACGATACACGATATGAATAAACATTCAATTTGTGTAATAGAAATGAAAATAATTGCGAAATACATCAGGTGAAAAATTTACGTTAATTCCCACATATATATATACCTGCGAGTGAGAATCAGAACGAAGAGATTGCATATTTTAAAATACGGGGCACAATAATGCAAATGTATACGCGGCGTTTGAAAAATTTAACAACAAAACGCGAGCGAAAAATTATTATATATTAAAGTGTAAATTAATTTTTCTTTCATGTAATCAGAAAAAAGTGCGGGGATAATCAGTGTGCAAGCAGTGAAATATACGCGTCAGAATATTGTTCGCGATTGTACGCATGTAATATTATTAATAACATAAAAAAAACAATCTATAAATAAAATGAATATATTCCTGTCACCCTTTCGATCCCCCGGAATTGATAATTTAATTTTTATTTTACACGCGGATGAAAGAAAATGTATTTAAAGTTTTTACAGGAAATATTAACATATTGATGATCTATTTCGAAAAATAAAAAAAGTTGGACTTTTTTCCTTTTATTTCGATTATTAAAATAGCAAACTATTTTTTTATATTATTTAAAATTATTATTTCTATTATTTATTATTAAAATTATTATTATTTCCGTTATTTATTATTAATGTTATTATTTATTTTAATTATTATACAAAGCCCCTTCGTCATTTGCCAGTTAATTTCGATTCTATTCATTGCGCTTGTGAGAGAACTCTCATGCCATCTAGGCGGGTATTTCAATATTTAGGCGCGAAATTCAAAAAGTCAACAAATTTATTTCACATTTTCTCTCAAATAATAAAATAATTTAGTATTATTTACAATTTAGAAATGAAGCTGAAACTGGCATCCAGTTATTAAATTATTTTTTATTTGATAGAAAATGTGAAATAAATTTGTTGACTTTTTGAATTTCGCGCCTAAATATTGAAATACCCGCCTAGATGGCATGAGAGTTCTCTCACAAGCGCAATGAATAGAGTAGAAATTAACTGACAATTAACTTAGAGTTTCAGCTTCATAATTACAATACACACTATTTTGAAAATATTTTCCGTAATAAAAATTAAAAAACAACTTTTAACGTATAATAAAAAATTGATTTTGGTTAAATTAGCGTCAAAATATTTCCAAACAATGTGAAATTAATTCGCGTCAGATTCAAATCTCGTGACACCTTCGCTCTACATTTTCAAGAAATTCGCAGCTGACAATAGCCACAAAGGGGTCGAATGCCAGAGGCACGTTTAGATGTGTGTTTGTGTGTATGCCTTCTGTAAACGATGACACAATGTTATCTGAACACTCGTCACCATCACACAATTATAAAGCCCCTTTGATTGTTATTCATTTTACTTTAGATTATCGCGTGCTATTTATAACATCATCAACCGAATCAAACAAATATGGATAAATTATTCTTTACTCCCTCTGGAGACTGTTTTCCTTTCGTAAAAAAAATTAGTAAAATAAATTTAATGAAAACTTATTTCTTTTCTAAAAAGTTCAAATAATAGTTTTTGCCACTGAGGAATGTCTTCGTTTTTTTAATTGCAGTTTTGTAATTTTTATTAGCTTCTTTAATGACGTCACTGATTGTCACTTGATTGTCATTTATTGCGCTTGTGAGAGAACTTTCATGCCATCTAGGCGTGAATTTCAACAAATTTTAAGGGCGAACTGAAGTTTTTTTAAATACAAATTTTAAGCGCGAAATGAAGCTAATAAAATTACAGAACCGTACATTAAATATTCGGAGACTGCAAAATTTAGTAGACTATTAAGAAAGTTTTAGTAATAGTAGTAATAGTTTTTGACAACTAAGTTTATTCGTATTTCTGATTCAAAATATCGTTGAACTAAAGAAAGAAAATGAATCGAAAGTTAGTCGCAACTGGAAAAGAAAAGTGCATAAAGAAACAAAAATTATAAATTACAGTAGGGAAAGTACTGAATAGAAAAAAGAATCAGGGGTGGAGAAAATTGTTCACCTGAGCATGAGAGGCGATCGAGAAAGAGTTGAAGTGTATAGTCGGAATAGATAATGAAGAGTAGAGGGTTGAACCCTGAACTATAATAACAGTAATTGAAAGTAAAGCTCTACTCACATTGTCGAGGTTCATTCTCGGCAGACGGCTACCAGCGTTGTGTAGTCGATTACTGCTGCTGCTACTACTATTGCTGTTGTTGTTGTTATTGTTACTGCTATTGCTGTTACTGCTGCCACTACCACTATTAGCGAGACTACTGCCAGCATTCGAATTACCGCTTCCCGATGAATTGGAAGGAGGCGGAGGACCCTTTGCCGGAAGTAAGCCGTGACTACGATGATCATTGCTATTGCCGCCGTGCTTGACTGGCTGTCCAGGATAGCCGCCACGGCCACCGTAGGGTGGCTTCCCATCGGCGGGCTTAACAAAACCGCCGCGTTGCGCTGATGCGTGACTCGATGATGAATTCGAGGAGTTGGAACTTGACCTGGGCCCACCAGGTTTCTTGAACTCCTGTGACGATGGCGAGCTCCTTGAACTCGAACCAGAGCCGCTGGCGAGCCTCGATTGATGAGCCGGTGCTGGACTCGCTGGCACACCATCGATTCCTATCAGCCTCTTTGGATCCTCGAGCAGGTGTCTCACCACCGAATAGTTGCCCAACTTCGACTGAATCTGCTGTGTCGTTCGGTCTTGTGCATCGGGGTTCACCTGAAATCAATCATTGCAATTCAATTAGTTATTAGTAATCATTGGTCCCCGTTTCTTTAGGGATCGAGAACATTAAAATTATTCACGTTTTAGCAAGTAAATCTTATTTCTACTTTTTAACTGTACACCCAGATGCGTTAATAATGTACTTCTGGTTAGGTTCTGCCCATCGTTTCTCTATTGACGATGGGCAAAACTTGCATTACATATCAATTTTTCTACGGAAAATATTCGGAATCAACTAAAAGAGGAGAGGCTTCTTGGGTACTCTACGGATACCTTCGAAAAATTCCCCACGAGCTATTAATTAAGGTGCTGGAGTTTGTTGATCTAGACAATAAGACTCAGAAGAAGACAACTTCTGGACGAACTTCATCCAATTGGAGAACTAGGCAGATACGTCAGACACTTGGGGTGTTTTGCAGCAGTGTCTACGTCACTCTTCTGACATCACCAAGATCCAAGAGAAGCAGAAGTAGTGTTGGATGTCAAGCAAATAGATCTCATTTGTTTTTTATAAAATCCAAATGTAATTCAATAGTTTTAATTGTTATTTTGACGATATTGTCGACTTTTACAAGAATTTTTCGATTGAGACTCGTTTGACATTCAACACTAAGCAGAAGTTCGAAAGACATATTCAACAAATAATAACATTCCAAGGTTTTAATTAACTAAACGGTGACTAGACTTCTTTGAAACTTCGTTGCACTCGCTAGTTAGATAATCTTAGGTTTTCTCAATAAAATAATACTATTTCTCCGAATAACTTTGTTGTAAGTGTACAGCCACTTGAACAAAAGAAATAAACACTCTAATTTAATCCAATTTAACAAAATAAATACAAAACCTTTTTATTCTGTACTTACAACACTAAAAGAAAAATTGATATAACTATAGATTTTCTAATCTTGTTTGAAAATTAAATTTGGGGGATTTTCATTGTTTAACCGAATAGAGGAATAAGGAACAACTTGGGTTTTAATAAATAAAAAAATATTCTCTCTAGGTAAGACAAGAAAGCTAGAAGTGATTACAAGTATCTAAAGAATGCTTTATGTCGATGTTGGTCAAGGTTACGGAAGAAGGGAAGACCATGACCTAATCGCCTCCTCTTTGCACGTCCTATTTGCTTTTTCTTTGCCTCTCTCTCTGTCTTTCCTCCTATTGTTATGAAGCGAATCAGATATCAATACAGATATTAATACTCCCGGTGAGTGGAATCTTGAAAGCTGAGAATGCGCTCTAGGAAAATGATGACGCTCATGATGAGGTCATGGCACTATTTCGTCCACGTGTTTCATTTTCGCTTCTTTTCTCACAATTTTTAGAGTATTTTTCTAGATCAGTTGAATTCCACTCCTTTTATTACTATACTTTATGTTTAATTTTTCATTTTATTCTAGTATTTATTTTGCAATTGTTTCAATTTTCAATAATTAGCATTAAAAAAAAATAATAAGAAGCACTTTCTCGGAGAATTCTACGATTAATGATTCAACTTGGCAAACGACTTAAAATTCATGTACTTCTGCCAACTATTGTTCTATAAGTACTTTAAACCAATGTGACAATTCAATTTGTGGGGCATTGTGTCCTCTGCGGAAAAGATTATTTACGATTCGCTTGTTTCAAATTTATTTACAGCATAATAGTTTTTTTTTCTTTTGTACAAATATACTTTATGTGTTTGTAATATTTCCTTTTCGTAAATAAATTTTCTCTGAATGAAACTTTCTTTTCGATGAAATCCTATCTTTCGTATTACTAAAATATAGTTGTGTGAGTGTGGAATGTGGATAGAGGAAGATGGTATTAGAGACATTGCTATCATGCTGATGACCCCATTTTCGTAGATGTAGCATTTTGTAACCATTTCGCACGTAATTAATTGTCAAGTTGATCTAATCCTTATAGATTAGCGCCCTTGGTCTTCATCCCATTTGAGGCCGTTTATCAATTCGAAAACCCTCTCGCTCTCTCTCTCTCTCTTTCTCTCACTTGAAGGAGAGAGGTCAATTTGCATCAAGTGCATTTAAGACAATTTGCAAATTTATTTATTCAAATTCTTCTGGAATACTGAAACAAAGTAAAGGTTTTGGGGTTTTCTGGATGTTTTTGATGATGAAGAATTCAGAAAGTAGATGAAGTAGAATGAAATGAAATGTTTTTGGGGTTTTCTGGATATTTTTGCCAATGAACAATTCAAAAAGCAGAGAAAAATGATGAAGTAGAATTAAATGAAGAAGACCAACAAGAAGGAAGACAAAAAAGGAGGATGAAACGAAGAAGAATGATCTCCTAAAAAAGAAGTTTCTGGAAACAAAAAGAGAAAACTCAGTGAAGTGATTTTTGGCAGAAGCGGTTTGCAACAGTAAACAATATGATAAAAAGTTAAGGAAGAAAATTCATCGAAAGAACTTAGAAAAAGTGTCTTTTTTTCTGCGAGGAGAAGAAGAAGAAGAAAAAAAAAGAATCATATATGCCAAGTTTGAGAAAAAGGTAATATATATCCTGGTACTTGTGTGAAGAAGGAGAAGAAAGAAATTCGAGAAATTTCATGATCGTCTCGGAGGTCGCATAAAAAGACGGAACAGAGTCGAAGGTACGCAGATAGATGACTATATGGACAGTCGGGCAATGGGAATCTTTCGTTGCAAAAGCAAAGAAGATGAAGGGATTTTACCTCTCTTTCTCTCTTTCTCTCTCTCTATTTTACCGCGAGTCTGGCAAAGATCAAGCGCTTCTACTTTTTTGCCAAGCTTTGCCAGTAAGAATCTCCGACTTGCCATGGTCCAAGTGTTTTGCTAGAGAGATCCTCCTGCTCTACTCACAGACGCTCATCTTATCTTGCAGTCGTTTGCCAATTGCTAAACATATATCGTCCTCTTTTTTTTACCCCCTTTGCCGTTCTTTTAAATTCCCTTTTTCCTACACAAGCTCTGACAGTTGGAATCAGAAACAGAAGTCAAATAAAAACTTGATAAATTTTTACTTCCCTTCATCCAACAAGAAAGTTGAAATATATCTTGACAACTGATTTTGTACCAAGATCCTGACTTCTTTTTCAAATCGTTTCTCAACATTTTTCTAATTATTTACGCAAAGTAAATAAATCCCTGAAGTCGCGAATAACACAAATTTATAGCAATCAATCTCATACGTGAAAGATTCATGCTCAATACTGAAATTCTCAACGGATAATGCTATGACAGAGTGACCCATAAAATTCAGTGTTCTGTATATGACGTACACATCGATTTTTCCATCGTCGAATATACTATCTATATAAATTTCGATCAATGCTAGAAAGAAAATACTCCAAGCACGTATATAAGAAGTATATGGAGATGATTGGAAAACTTTCTATACGACTTGGAATTTCCCGTTTTCAAAAGGTAATTCCATGTTTCATTTTTTACGATAAAAAAAGCCAAAAAATTACTCGATTTACAGAGAAAAAAATACATTTCTAAAAGAGTGTAAGAATCAAGAGTGACGAAAATTCTCCCAACAATCCGCCAGACCAATTATGATACATTTAGAAAACAATAGTTTTTGAAAACTAGTTGAAACAACTATAGTTTCAAGTAGTTTTCAAAAACTATTGTTTTCTAAATGTATCATAATTCCGATGGTTTGATTTTGAAACCTAGTTTTGAAAAACTATAGTTTTGAAAATGTATTATAATTCTGATGGAGGAGAATAATAAAGTACAGTAGTTTATATACCCCGGTGGGTATATGCAAACTAATTTATTAGTAACGACCACGAACTGGTTGAATCTATTCCGTTATAAGGACCAGACTAACTAGTTAAGTAATTAGTTGCCAGTTGAATAGCTATTAAATTAATTAACGAGTAAACTGAATTATCCAGTTTCATGAAGATGGCATCGACGTTGAATATTTCCCCCTCCCTCTCTCCCTAAAAAAAAAATATATCCAACAAAATATACATAATATTTGAAAATTTCATGGAAATTTCTAGGAAAAAGAAACGCCACTCTCCGCCAAGAAGTGCGCTTTTGAATCGGCAAAAAAAAATTTGAAAGACGCAAAAGTTTTTCAAATCAATTCATTGGAAGTATACATATCTACTTTACAACTTCAAGAGAATAAGGAATTCTCCTTCCTGAACTTAAAATTTGAAAGCTTTCACTTGAAGAAACTAGGAATTTAAAGACTAAAACCAATATTCTTTGAAATTCCCCGCAACTCTTTGAATTGTTCAAACTTAAGACGTCATTTAACTTTAACCAATTTTGCTATAGATTATCGGATTTTTTTTATATTTGTTATTTATAGTTAATGAAATTTATAATTTCAAAAAGGTTAGAATTTGAAATTTTTAAGTGATAAAATCACTTATTTTATATTATAAAAATATTGTTACTGTAACTTTTTCAAAATTATTTTTATCATTTCAATTCAATTATTATTTTCTAGAATTTTTAACTAAAATTGTTCAATAAATAAATTAATTTTAATAATTTTTTAAAAAGTTCTTTGAGAATTTTCAAAATTGTTAACAATTGTAAATTTGTTTACAATTTCAGGATAAAAAATTTCAATTAAACTTTTTCAAAAAAATCAATTCTACAAAATTGTTATGCTTAAAAGTATGAAAAATTCAAATTTTCAAAGATTTTAATTTTAAACCTTTTCAAAATTCAATTATTTCTAAAAATTCACGCTATAATGCTTTTAATATTCAATTATTATCTAAAATTATAAAAAAAATTCAATTTCAAATCAATCTTTATTGTAAAATTTTACTAAAATTCAATTATTTAAATTATTTGGACCCAAGGCTTAAGAATAGTTGCATTTTTCAGAGAAATTCAAATAAATTTTAATAAAAAAAGTAATTTAAATTCTGTAATGAAAATAATAATAATAAAAAAAATAATAATAAACTTATGAAAATAATTGAATTTCTAGAAAGAATGTTATTATTTTTGAAAATAATAATTAAATTCCTATAAAAATGTTTTTAT